TATATAATGTATTTTAATGTCAAACCCTTTAGATCGACAAACACTTAAAAAACTTATCTTGTTCATAATTTGTTGAATTTCTTTTGAAACATCCAAAATTGTTAAATACGATAAGTTCTTCCGAAAAGTGCGAGAAAGCGATGGAAAGTGTGGAGGAAAGCTTTCTTTATTCTCGTTAAAAAAATGTAAAAGTAATTAAATGTAACAATACATTGTTTAATACTTTAATTGTAATATTAAAAATTAAATTTTCTAATTGTTTAAAAAATTATAATGGTTTTGAAATGTTACATTGTGTTATTTGCAGTGTTGTGCTTAAATAAAAAAAAAATCTAGATATAGATAAGATACCTGGATTTAAAATTATCTAGATATAAATAGATAAAATAATTTTTATCTAGATATTTATATAAGACATCAACATTTTCATCCATTTGTAGGCGAACTCTTTTGGTCTTGGGTAATGATTGTATTATGTAACGATTCATTTCAAAATATAAAATATTTCACCAATAAAATAAAATTGAAAGTCAAAGACAAAATTATGAAAAATGTGAAGACCGTCTGACGATTAACACTGAACACATTGTGGATGAGAGTAGTGCACGACAGTACAAGTTTTTAATAAATAACGGACGTTTCACGCCTAATATTTATTTTGTTGTACAATAATATAATGTAGACACATCAAAGTACGAATTCATAGAACTAGGGTCCGGTAATGACAATTATTTAAAGCACATGATTACATGAACAATGGATATAATTTATATATAAATATTGAATTTAAGGCGGTCGAAAGATGATGGATAACGATCAATTTGTGTATAGGTACAGCGTAATGCGTATTATTATATTGCTATTTTCTTATCGAAAATTATTTCTGTATTTTAGTATTTATAAACTAAAATAAACCGCGCAGCTGCAATAATAACCAGTTTAGACTTATGGTACGTTATCTTTGGTTCTAATATTCTTGTAAATGCTCTTTCGGCGTTTGTAATACTACAGAACAATAATAATACGGGCATGAAACTTCCCCGTATGGGCCATACTATAAAATTATAAATAATTCTCACCTCCCATGCATATTATGTAGGTAATATATGTTTATATAAGTAATAAATTGTCATTGTTCATAATTAATAATAAATGCTATGTAAAACTATTTTAGAACCAATTTTTGCAAGTAAATATACAAATGAAATTTCTTATTTAGTTATTTATTTTATATTGAAAGATAAAATTGTAGATTAGTTATTACTAATGACTAGGTACAAATTTTGTGAATTATCTAGATAAATTTATCTAGATGGCTATGATTTTTATGTGGATGAAAATTAGAAGTCAATTTTATTTTTTACCTAGATAAGATAACGATATGAAGTTTTTATTTAGATAACATATCTAGATAAATTTATCTAAAGCACAACACTAGTTATTTGATGAATAATTAAGAGAAAATATTATTTAATAATGATTAAAAGAAAATATTTTATTATTTAGGTTATTTTACTATAAAAGGGTAAAGTAAAAAGAAAATAATTGTTTATGGTATGACAGAGATTTGGATTTTAACTCTCGAGATTTATGTTCATATGTGTGTATGTATATGGATGAGGGCATTGGTGGCGCCAGGGACGGGCCAGGTAGGGCCATAGCCCTACCAATGGCCCTACCACTGACCTAACCTTAGACCTTAGTTTGTTCTTAGATGAACCAATATGTAACGCTATACTTCTTAACGAACTACACACTGGTGAAGAGTTTTGTTTTTTCAAAAAATCGAAAACTAATTTATATCGTAAAAAAATCGATAAATATTTTAATTAATTTTAAAAATGGTCAGACTTTTTTCGTCGCTGTTAAGTTTTCGAATCGATTGAAATATATTTCGTTTGTTATTGCAACTGTTTATTTTAAAGTTGATTTTACGGTTGGTGTATTTTTTTCTTTTATAAAAAACCCGTATTGAACTCAGCTTTTTTGATCAATCAAATGATTATATAGTTTAATATTCGATTCATTATTCGCGTTAATATTTGACACGTTTGAACTATGTGGTTTTATTCCATAACCGAATCAATAGTTTCTGTTGCGTTTTATTTTCAACCGTAAGTCGTTGATTGATGATAAGTTCATTTTAAATATCCTCGAGGATCACACCCCTGGCTTGTTATAAAATAAAACACCCTCGTGGCCCGACGTGGCGAGACAGGTGTTTCATTAGTTATTACTTATTTTATCATCTGCTTTTTTTGTTTTTTTTTTTTTTTGCAAACATTTTAAACCACCCGTCCAATACTTTTACTCGACGGTGGCAGTCAAGTATTGAGGATAGTGTTGGATGGGACTATCGATGTCGGCGGTATAGGTACAACGCGTATAATGCCTATTCAAGTATTTCCCCCCACCCGTATATTTTAGCGGGGGAAAATCAATACGTAAAAAATTTGTACGATAACAATAAGAAAACTTCATGTTATTTATTCGTTTTACAGTGAAATTCTTACGGGAACGATAAAAACATAATATTATATAATAATGTTCACACTGCCCTTCGGTTACCTCACCCACGTGCAACATTATTATGCGAAAACCTGTTAATTTGTTCACGTTCCATCAATATGATGTAGAATATATTCTATAGAATTTATATAATATAGAAAATATTTTGTTTACCTATAGGTAAACACTAAACAGTACGTACCCTATATCGTCGTGGTGCCACATGAATATATGTAATTATACCTAATTATACAAAAATGAGTAGAATACATTTTATTTTTCACGTTTTTGTTTGTCAATTTTTCTCTCCGCCATCGCGTTAAAAAAAAATATAATATATATACGTGTTTTCGCGTATTATACTGTCAGCTACGCAAGTACACATCTGCGATGTACGTTCATGACGGTATTTATTGTTATTGGTATTGTGTCATATTGCTTTTTACACAATAACTGTACATTATAAATTACGATTATAATATGTAAATAGTATAAAAACGGGCTTAAACGATAAAATGAAATTTCAGTCGGTTTGGTATTAACACATTTTCGAGAACGAGGACGGTTATATGATATGCATATCATGTATCATCAAACACGTTCAAACTGCACTATATAAATTAGTCGTGTGTACATTAATGTTGGTTTTTTTTAAATTTTTTTTTACGGTTATTACTGGTGTATCGTTATTGCGATTACACATTTGCACGGTTTAGCGCGATGCGGTGTAAAACATCGAACAAATGTGTACATATACCTATATCAGCGGTGGACAACTGGCCGTAACAGACCCGTGAGCCTTTTTTATCTGGCCCGTGCTATATTTTCAAATTACATCATACGATTTTAAAGTTTATCATCTATACTCTATCTTATCGATATAATAATTGTTATCTGATATTGAATATTGATAAATGTCATAAGTATGTAACCATAGCTGTTTGCACCAAACTATTTAAGTACATCAGTTTTTTCGTATTATTCGTGTCGTTCTGTCGTTTTAATTTATTATTTCGGTGTATATAAATACTAATTAAAATTCATATTTTGAATGACCTTTTTTATTTTCCTATGGTCTGGCCTGCTGGATTTTAATTTTCTAAAACTTGGCTCTTTAATAACTTTGAGTTGCCCATCCCTAATATATATTATGACGTACGGCGTTATAACGCGTTTTACCACAGCAGGTATCTCTCATACATCGAACGACGCTACAATGTGGTTTATACGTATGCTGGTGCTGCGAAGGAAACGCGTTACGAGGTCTAACGCCACCCACTAAACAGGGTAATATATATATACGCGTGTACGGTGGCGGGTATTCGGAAAATTATTTCGAATATGTAGGGCCCGCGCGATCACAGAGACGAGCTGAAACGCGTTTTAAGTCGATATGCACACGCGTACGAGGTACGCCGTGAGCGCATTTGCACCCCATTGCCTCGTGCGTTTGATATTCACTCGAAACAGTACATCATAACGTAATGTATACAAGTAATATAAGTAATATATGTAATATAAGCAATACGCGTTTAATTACACTGAGTGAATTGCGCGCGAACGGTTGAAAAGTAAAAATTAAATTCATCCGTCAGATGTGTAACACATGTGAATACAATAACTCGTATTCGTACGAGGCCACGTGGGATTCGGTTAACGTTAATTATTATTGCGTTGAACCGCGATGACCGAATGATGCGTGTCCGTTTTCGTGCGCGTGCCACCGTAGTACCGAATGCGCTGGAAAATATGTTAACTATGTACATCGTACAGTACGTTAATATCATTATTGTTATTTATTGTCACGCGAACGAAATAATAAGTTATGAACACCCGTGTGGACGCGAAAATGTCACGGGACTTACTCTTTTAAATAACGTTTTACTGGCGTCCGGGCGTTGATGAATTTTACTTTTTTCTTGAAACTATCTTAAAACGCTAGAGTAGTTTTAGCCCATATATGTATGAAAATATACATAATTTCATATAATCGATGGATCAGTTTTTTAAATTCAAACCGATGACAGTCAAACTGTTACTTTCGATTCGTTCAAATACTTCTTTACGATTAGATGTGTATTTTTTTAATAATTCGTTGTTCGACTTTTTGTTCCGTATGTTCTAATGATTTTTTAATGGCGTTTTGTAGGTTAGTTTCTCGACACAAACAATAAAACCCTAGTGGCATAGTTGTGAAATAAAACTATGTTTATTGTATATAAATAAATAAAATAAAAATTGTCTTTTTTATCGTTTTATACGATAAGACAATCGTAATTTAAATTGTGAAAAATAAATAATAAAACTCTAAACTATATAAATCTACAGTGAACTAAAGCCGTTGAAATAAAAAAAACGCACTAGGACCATCTGCAGCTCTCTTGCACCCGGCGCTTTTGGTAACGATACTATATTTTGAGAAAGTGAAAAAGTCCTTTGCGCTTCTCATAAACGGACGACAAGTTAATACAACATTACAAAACATCATACAATGCGTTTTATGCACCGCACAGTGCTCATCGTTTTTATTTTTCCGCCAATAATCGTTATTGTTTACATTTCTAGCTCAACAATATAATGTGCCGAATGTTACGGCACCACCCTGCGGTGAGTTCCGATTTATTTGCTTGTTGTTGCAGTGTATAGACTCGAAAAGATTTAGCGTGCAAGTAAAATCGCAGGCGGCGTTTCGTCGCGTTGCTCACCTGAAAAACAATATAAAACCAAATGGTTTAAAAAATATTACTTTCCTTCTTGCAAAGTAGGCATGTTACATAATATATTATATTATTATCTTACATCATCAAGTACTTCTCCATCGTTTTCTTGGACTTTTAGATCTTTGCTGCCGGAAAAAATCTGTCTCGTTCAACTCCATAATAAAATAAGCCTTTAGTTAGTAGATGTGTTTAAAAAATATCTCGTGTCTTCGACAACGCTGGTTTTTTCTACGTTAAATTTCAACTAATAAGGGTTCTAAAACATCATAAGATTAATTTTTTTGAAATGCTTCATATTTCGATTTAGAAATACAATAATAAATACATAAAAATTCTACTCAAATGGAAAATGATGTATAAATGTCCTTTACATAGTACATCATATAAATTATACAATAATTTGCATAAACATATAAAAAAAAACTTCAGAACTTATTAACTACATATGTTTCTTAATTCGTGTTTATAGCATATTTTGTAATTATTTATTAGGTGTATTTTTTAACCAGTTGCACTATTATGATCTATAATCTTCATTTAGTATTACTATTTGATTATTTGAATTCAAATAAAATACTAATTTTAAATTTATATAATAAATTGTATCATTATAGTTATTTATTAAAACCTATAGGTACATCGTGTTGATATATTAATTTTTATTAATATACTATTACTATCAATATACTCGTGATGACTTAAAGAAATATATAGAAAAAACACAATATTTTTTTTTTTAAAAAAAATTGTATATTTAAATATTTTGAAGTGAAGTCATGTGAAATATTTCCTACTCTTATTACATATAACCCTAAGCATATTACATACCAGGCGCGGTAAGACGATTAAAGAAACGACGAAACACAATACGATAAAACTGAGCACTTTGACGATTGTTTCGTGTTCCATCATTTTGGTGTTACTGCAGCAGTTTTCGTAACCGTAGTTATTGTTTATTGCTCTTTCTACCGAATAACAGCTGTGTAAACATGAAATAGGTTTAACGATTCGAGTTCATATACAATGAATGCTAGCATTCGTTCATAATTTTTTTTTTTTTGCATTATTGTTTTTTTACGTCTTTTACTATTTTGTATTTCTAAAAAAAATTGTCCAACGACGGTAAAAAAAGCGAGACGCATAAATCGAGATCGTAAGCTATGTACGTATCTATTGAACGGATAAAATTCAAAAGTGAGCACTAGTTAAAAATTAAAATTATTTTTACAATTTTCATATTTTCACAAACCGTTGAACTTGATAACTACCCTGACCTTAACTTAAATTACCAATGTATTGTACTTAGTTCCACCCAATTAAAGAAATTTAATTTGAACATTAATATCATGATTGGAATATTTGATGAAATTTTAAGTAGAAGTAAAAATGAATACGTATACAGTTGCTATAGATCACATCATTATAAGTTGGACGTATAACAGAATGGTTTTTTATTCCTTAAAAAGTGAAAGGACATTTTTATCAATCATTTTTTATCAAGATACTAATTAAAAAAAATAAATTAACTTTAAAATTAATAAGTCATATTTATCATTCCTTTACATTTACCTACTCCATAAATTCAAAAGTTTTTGTATTGACTTAATTTTATTTAGTTTAGTTAATTTAAAAAGTTGGCCGAACGAATGCGAACGACTGGAATGACGAAATCGTAGCACGTACACGCATGTTTGTCGGATGATTTTTATGCTTGAACGCGAGCAAATTTTTATTGCCGAGTGAATTATTGCTATATAATAACACGAAATGTGAAAATAATTGAGTTGTATGCCGTTCTGCGGATACCATAAATACAGTAATATAGTATACCTACGTTCTCTATTTACGGACCGCATTATATCATTTTAAAATGATCCGAAACTGTTAATTTATGCACAGGGTGTGTATTAAACAAATAGTCAGAAAAGTTTTTATTTAAAACGGAAGAACGCTGATAACTGAAAGAGACAAAAATACAATATTAATTAAACTTTATAAAAACTTTGAGATTTTCGTTAACTGTCCCATTTGGAATAAATTATTACTCTAAAAAATTATCAACGCCAAAAGAATAATTTTATTAATTAATTCTATCAAATATTTCTACACAAATATTATACGTGCTCAGACGCAACAATTATGCACCATCCTTATAGTGTACACATTTCAAATATTTCGGAAAAACTATTTGCTCCACAAAAAGTAATTTATTATAAATATAAGAATATAGTAAAATTCACAAACAAATTGATAATATTTGTAACTAATTAATCATAATGTAGATTGTTTTTAATTAAATATGAAAAAGTTGATTTAAAACGTTTTATCTTAATGACAAATTGAAAAAGAATTCGAATTTTCCTGTACAGAGTGTCAAACTTCGTTTTTATTTTAAAAGTTTTACCTATCCATTTTTTTTTATTTTAATGAATTACGACCAAAATAAATAAATGTATAACGTCTCGTTTCAGTTTAACGTTGGCACAAAAACTCAAAATTTGTTTCTGAGTTCTTATCACTCGAGTAAACGATTTTAATTATTATTGAGAACATTTATAAATAAAAAAAAACGTATTATTTGCACAACTCGTAAATGTACTAATATATGATTGAATAATAAAAGTATATAGTTTTAATCCTTTCACAATACTTCGTAATTTATTCACTATATGATATAAGACGACGTAATAACATAATATATAACCCATTTTATTTAATTATTTACGGTAATACCAATTTATTCCTATACAATTACCAGTGTTCGATGTTTAACTATTCCGCATGCGCAGTTAAAACGGTGTTTCTGTTTAAATTATTTTAACGTTGAAAAATAGTTTTTTTTCAGGAATATTTTTCTCATTAATTAAATAATTTTTTTTCAATTATTAAAATAACCTTTTTTTATTTTACAGGATACACGCCTTTCTTGTTTTCTACCACCCAACCAATATATATATACGTCATTAATAAATATCGCGATACTACGTGGAATTATCAAGAACGCTGCCGTTCGTTAAAAAACGGTTGTAAATTATCGCAATGTAGTTAATTTACTTTAAGTCTATTTTTTAAGTAGTTTACATAGACAGTCGACATTTTGGCTTTATTAAAGTTTAAGATTTCATAATTTTTATATAATTAATTAATCTCACACAACATTATGATAAATACTCGAAAGCGTAATTATTCTTACGCAGTCACTGTACTGCGAATATATAAGTGATGTCAGTCGACCGATTATAATATCAATATTATGCGCTGCACACAGTGTTCTTGGCGCGTATTCAAATTGAACACATCGACATGCACTATACACAATATATTTATAACGACGTGTGCCTGTAATTAAAATCTAGTGTTGTTCGGCATTTTCACGAAGTACGCGATTTTATCCAGTGGGATTTTGTAGTTGTGTATCCAACGGGACCCTTTTCTCAGGCTGCCTTCGATGCCATCCTTCCACACCCCGGCGGGCAGATAAACCTCACGTTCCGTAGCCCCAGGACGCAGTATGGGAGCCACGATGACTTCTTCGCCCACTGAAAATTCGTCTTTCACGATGTAACACGTCGTGTCTGAAGGGTCCAACATCCACAGCGGCCGTATTAGCGGCACGGCGGTTTCCAATGCTTCTTGCACGTATCTCTTCAGCAACGGGTTTATCTGTACGTCCGAATGTATATCATTAAAAAAACAGTTGATAGTGATTGGTTGCAGAACATTCAAGTGATGGCAATATAAGGATACAGAGCGATCCCCGGGGCAACGATCACTAATAGTTTGTTCGCAGTCAAAATATCAAAAGTTATGATTATTATCGTGAAAAATGAATCAGTAGAAAAAAAAATGTTGTTATAAAATTACATGTTGTGCGGACGAGTGCATTCAGACGAAATTGTCATCGTTGGCGTGCAGTAAGCACTGGGATATTATTTATTCCGAAAGTTCGAAATTGAATGAAATGTAATAGGCAATGCGTACGATAGTACCGCAATAACTACACTGCAACGACGATATCGGCTGATAGGGTAACGGGCGCGCACGCGCGGTAATCAAAAAGTTTGGAAGTGCTACGTGCACGCGTACAATGTACTTTTGGTTGTGTCCATTAGAAGTGTGTAGGGATCGCAGTCACGAGGTTCCGGTGAAACCGTAGATTATTGGTCGTTATCAACAAAAGTGGCAAGACTTTTATAACTAAGACGTGACTCCTGCCGGGAAACTTTTCGCATGATCGTATTATGTTCGTTTCAAATTTTGCCGCCTCGGGCCGATATTCATTTCTTATTCGGCTGGGCGCACAAACGAAGTGCGTACAAAACGAATAGGTTTCCGTGTATTATGCGAACGTTTACGAGAGACGTGTTACAAAGTTGGTTTGCAGGAACGACGCACAAGTACTCAAAAAAATTACCGCATAAAAACCAGCTATAAACGCGATCCGATAACCGGACAGAAACGGTCTCTTTTGATCGGATTTCGAACAACCGATTCGCTGTTGCAGCTAACATGCGAAACAAAACGGCGTTGCAAGTCGGTCACGCGTCCCAGATAAAAGTTGTCCGAAATTATATTAACTTAGTCGCCGAAATGCGCTTACTATTTGCTGTCTGAGCGACGTCAGGTTCTTCGTCAACTGTAGCACTTGCGGGTCACAATCACTCGGCAGTCTTGCGTACCTGATCACCGGCAGGAACGTGGCCAGTTGCATCCATCGCATGACCAGTTCCCGACTTTCGTTATAATGTTGACCGCGTTGCCGGCACTCTTTCAGCGACTGGGATTCCAAGAGTTCCGACGACGGGTTGTCTGAACGGAAAAAAAATTACGAACGTGCAAAGAACGTAAACAACGGCCTAACTACAATAGTTACCCGGTGGAATCAAAGCGTGCAAGGAAACGTTTCCGACCTGAAAGTCTCCGCCTACAGGGCCCGGAAGCAAGAACGGATAACCGACTATGCCGTACGTAAGCATGGTCGGTATGATCACTTGAAGTGAATCCCACGTCGAGGCCAACGAAAGTAACGACACGAAAATCGGAGCCGGCGGCCGGCTGATTGCCGAAGAAACGCCGAACACGTTCACGCTATCCGACACGGTCTGGGTGAAGAGCGATTTATAGTAGTCCGGGTTGGTTAAGTTCTCGGCAAACATATAGTGACGGGGCAGATCGTAAGCCGAGCCTGAGAAAATACGAAAGAGCGAATAAATCATTCGACGCGTTGCCATCAAGTGAAACCGGTGCAACGCACCGGAGCCCCCATGGTTTAGGGTCCTCGATCCAATGGGGAATTGTAATTGACAAAAATAGAAGCTCGCGTTTACTAAAACTAATTTTTTTTTTGGTCGAAATAAATAATGAAAAATTAGTGATTTATTTATTTTTTCGTTTGAATTTATTACCTTAATATTTTATACTTTTTCTTTAAATGTGTACCTAATAAGGCCTCACTTGCCTATCATGCATCGGGGGTCTCCACTAGTACATCGCTGTAAGTTGCTATTATAATATGAATATCGTTTAAATTATGGGCATTAAATATAAAAAAATAATAATTATATCTCAGGCACTGGATTTGATAGTTTCTCGTGCCTACCCATGTCTAAATAGAAAGCGTCAAATTGATACTTTTGCACTAGATCTTTCAGCTGCCGTTGTAACCAAGGGCCGCAGTTTTTGTTGGTGATATCTAACATTCCGGCGCTTTGCACGGTCTTGTATCTGGTCAGCGCCGGCACGTTGTGTTCGCTCCCGAATTGTCTGACCTGAGAGAAACCGATGAGGCAAGTGATGGTGCGCAATATTCGTTATTAAATTATTTCAGTATTTGCGGTCCGCCGCGATGCTTACGAGGATGCCTTCTCTTACGGCGTTGGCGAAATTGCTCGACTCGGTGCTGATGAACGGCTGTATGGTAACCACTATGCGGAATCCTCTTCGGTGGATGATGTTGATCGTCTCTTTCATTGTCGGAAACCTTTTTTGATCCAACGAAAAATCACCCATTTCTGCCTGCCAAAATTCGTTGAGCAACACGTGACCTGGGCACACGACAAGAACATCGAACTATATAAGTATTATGAATATAAAATTTTTCCTAACCAAGTCGGAACATTTTTCATAAATCCTTTCACTACCAAAAATATATATAAATAAAAAAAAAAAGTGATCAATTATTGTTTGCCCGTTACTAACTTGATCACCACGTTTTAAATTATGGCTAAACTGAGTTTTCTGTATTAATGCCCTGTTCACTACAGATAGACAAACGTTACTTAACAATCGAATGTTATGATATGTTATGTAATAACAAGGCATTTACAATAGAAACTAAAACCATAAAACAATTACAATCTACAATCGACAAAATAGTGACATTATTAGGCGGCACACGATTCCGCATAATATTCATTTTTACCTATCCGATTCCATACATTTCATAATATAAAAATTTTTTTTTACTGAACCCAAATTTAACACGATTTCGCATAAAAATTGTTGTAACGTTGCCAGTTTTGAGGAAAAATAATTATAGTAGTAATATAAAATATTAAATATATATATTTCTAAATTTTATGTAATAAATAAAACAAATTATTAAAAATTTATTTCAAATCTGCCGTAAATAATATTGTAGTTTGGTTTATATATATACACTCTATTGTTGAAATAAAAAATAAAATAATGTAAAAATAGTCAACTTAGTTAAAATAAATAATTAAAACAAGTTGTAAATTAAAAATCACAATAATTTTTTTTTTTTTTTATTTATTTAAACTTACAATGTGTCAACATATTACATGTTATTACAAGGTATTATTTATATAATAATGATACGGTTAAAAGAAAATAATAATGATTTTTTGGAATGAAAATAATGGATAACTAATTTTAGAGTGAGATAATAGTAATAATAATAATAATATATATATATTCTAAATTGACAAAATGTAGTCGTTAATAATGATAGACTTGGTTGGATGTTACATAATTTCAATTAAAATTTTAGATAAAATTAATGAGGATAGGTCTGAGAAAAGATAAGATTATAAAGGTATTATGAGACGGTGTGCAATAGTATTATGGAGAGATAATGTCTTTAGCTATTAGTGTGTTTAGGACTGATGTAAGGAGGGAAATTAATAGATTAATTAAAGAGCTTAAATTGGATATGAGTTTTGAAAAGGTATTTGATATTTGTTCTGTGATTTTGTTTTGGTTGTTGGTGGCTTCTGCATATGATTTGGTTTTGGTTCTGGGTTGAGACTGTTGAGAGCGAGGGTCAGGATTTTTGACTGGTTGAAACTTTTGAGCAGATTTTTTAAATATTGACTCGAATACTGGGCATCCTTTGAAGTTTGCGGTGTGGTCTTTAGCGCATAGAGCGCATTTGGCTGGACTATTTCGGTCCTTAGTACACTCGATTGTCAGATGGTTTTCACCACATTTGACACATCGAGCTTCATGGTTGCAATAGTTCTTTGTATGTCCATAGTCTTGGCAATTATGGCATTGCGGTGGGCCACGTCTTTTTTTAAATGGTTTTTCGATTTTCACTATTGTGTTGAGAAGAGATGTAATTTCATGGATATCATTATTATCACAATAATAATAATAATAATAATAATAATAATAATGCGATTGCAATATTAAGTATGAACGGGTATCGAACAGGTAATTGATGACTTCAGATAAAATATATATGTATACACTATAGACCAGCGGTACCCAAACTTTTTTTTTCCGCCGTGTCTTTTTTTGAACTCAATTTAGCTACGGTGCTCTGCTGTGAATTACATAAAAAGACAAAAAAAAATACTCTTTGATAACTAATTTTTTTAATTTTATTAAAATTTAACTTAATTATAAATTAATGAATTTTTAAACCTAAAAATTAAATAAATAAAATTATTGTTATCATTATTATGATTATTACATAAAAATATTATAAGATTAAAATGAGAATATCTGAATAAACAATAGAAAATATTTCATTATTTTCTACAAAGTTTTTACGAAAACAATAAGGAAAAAAAATCTAAACATTTAAAACTATTTGTTATGAATCGTAGACCACTGTGCTCTTATAAAGTGTTCACGGTGCCCCTAGGGCACCGCGGTGCACAGTTTGGGAACCACTACTACAGACTATTCAGATAAGCTAGTATTTGGAGAAAAACCAAAATATATTATAATATGTTAATTAATTTGGTGTGGAATCGTGTTACTGAAAAAGTATATGCGGAATCGTGAATCGCCGACATTATTATGGTTAGATAGTGTCCAATAAAATAAAAACAATAGTTAACCCGTTCCGTGTGCGATCTTAGATTGAATTAATCACGTGTTTTTACGAAAGCATATATTTTTTTTATAACATTTGGCTAGTGATATGAAGATTTTTTCGTTCCGGAAAGCCGGGATTAAGTTTTTTTTTGATATCCGGTTAAACTCGAACCCGATTAATATTTTTCACGCCGAATCATCAGCACATGTACGCCTTTGACGGGCACCGGTATAAAACAACACAGTTACACTGTCGTTCGCATTGATCGCGCACCAGTATTGCACCCCCCGGATTACCTTGTTTTATGAAACCCAAAGCGATGATGTCCTCGGTGTAGTTGACCATTGTAGATTCGTTGAGCAGTTCCCTTCTGGACGGGGCCAGCTGCCAGACGGGCTCAGTGAGCAGCGAGTTTATGATTTCGGTGTCGGAGGCCTTCAGACCGTCCCACAGCATTTTCTCGGAGAGCGCCGCGTGCAGCGTCTTCATGTTCCGGGCCGTGCATACGGTGTAGTTGAGGACGGGCAGTCCGACCGTAGTGCGGCGGTAAGCGAACTCATCGTGGCTGGCCTTCAGGGACGGGGACGGGACGATCGACAACGGAGCACAAGGGCAAATTGAAAGGTTTTACAATTGTGGTGGCCAAAGGGGAGAAACGTTTGGACGACGTTCGGATACTATTGGCACCAGGGGCGGAACTAGGATATGTAAGACGGGGATTTAACCCCGAGCGTAGAATTTTAGAGGATGTAATTTTTGTAATTACTAACAACCAATTTGATATTTTTAACTTTGTTGAATATTGTTATTAGGTTCATACTCGATAAGACTGATTGTATATTAATTGTTGGAAAAAAATGTCTCGAAAAAAGTATTCGATTATTGGTCCATGATTGAGCATAGTTTTAACGTTTTCCCCGGGCGTCAAAATTCCTAGTTCCGCCTCTGATCGGCACCCACCTTTAAGCACAGTCGGTTGTCTCGGCCAGCGTTTATGGACACGTGCAGTGGCGTGTTCGGGTGCACGGTGATCGCCACTCCTTTGGAATTGATGAAGTACCTGCCCAGCACGCTGCCCCACCGGTGTCTGCCAACGTGGCCAGTGACGAACGGAGACATTTCCACTGTGCCCAACTGGACGGGCCACGCCATGCCCAACGTTCTGCCGCCTCCGTACCTGCGTTGGAACACAATATTAACTGTGCGTGAACGAAAACGTTTAACAAACATCATGTTTCGTAGATTGCCGTCATCGCGTCCAGCCGTCCCTTCGCGTCCGTGTCGTATGCGTATTATCGATTTTACAGATTTCGCGGTCGAAAAACGACGAATAATACATGGCTCGGGCTGCAACAGTGGCGGATTCAACGTTGTACGTGAAGGGCGACGGATTCTTCTTGGGGAACGGTGTGCGCGCGCGAATGAATTGTTTTCGCGAGTCGAATAGGTGTACACCTAAAGGATCGCTTTGAAATTTTGACGTGAAATAAAACGCGCGACCCTCCTTGGGGCTGAAGGAGAGAAAGAACTCCATAATATCATGTACATCGCGCAAAGGGTTCGCGCGTTCTGCAGTATCGATTGGTAGTGCGTTCGAGTACACACAGCCGCACACACTCATAGCATTTAAACCAGAAAGCCGTATTACGAGACGTATGGCGCACACTAGTGCTCTACGTGGTCCGGTCTAGTACGGTCCTAACATTCAAAAATTATTGTCGGTTTGGTTCGGTTTAATAATTTTTAGGAGTAGTTCGGTCCAGTCCTCAGACCAAATGCACTATTTTCAGTCCGTTCCGGTTTCAAAAAAAAGAAATGAAAATCAGTCCAGTCCGATCCTAATTATGGTACTTAAAATCTAAATAAAGATATTGTTGTATAAACGAATAAAAAGAAAAAAACTTACAACTTTAAGTATATATTTATTTATAAAGTCGAGTAGTCCAGTCCAGTGTAATACTAAACGCATCATATGGTACGGTCTGGGCTAATGCAGATATAGATATAGAATTTACGGTCCGTAAATGGTCAAAAATGTTTTAAGATCGGACCGATCGTCTACGGTTTACGGTCTACTTTATTAAATGTTATTTAATTACTGATCCGGTCCGGTGTAAGAAAAATATGAAGCCGTCGGTTCGGTCCAATTTTGGTCTTTGATTAACGTTTAAGTGTGTTCCGGTCCGACTTTGGTCCCCTGGTAAAATTTGTAGTCCAGTCTGGTCCAGTCCATAAAATATAACGGACTGTGCAGAGTACTAGCACACACATAAAATCGTCGGACTATTCGCGGTTATAACAAGATTTCCCCCCGATAACTTCGAAGCATTGCGCGCGCCTTATCGTTTAACTAACCAATGGCCGTATTGTTCCCCGTCTTCGTAACAGTCCACGGGATTGTATTTGTCCGTCAGGCTAGACCATTCGACCGTGTAGCAGTTCAAGCCTTCGGGTCTCTCCTCGTGGGACAGATACAGTCTGGCTTTTTGCATCCATTCGAAGCACTGCACGTCGGACGGCTTACGGTGTCCCGCCGCCAAGCAATCGAACGCCTTCTCCCTCTCCGCCAGGTCCACGCCGAGGTAGCCGAACGCTATCTCGTGCCCGTCGACACCATATAATCGCAAGAAACGGTCTTCCTTGTTGAACCGCGTGTACTTGAAATATGCTTTCTGCAATGAATCATGGCGTGTGCACGCACGCACTCGCGCACCCCACGCTTCGGTTAAAACATGTTATCGTCGTTATTAAATTTATTACTGTGTACGTTCGGCGGGGTGGCGAATTATTTTCTGAGCGAGGGCCAAAAAACCCCGAAGAAGTACTACATTACTCACCTACAAACAGATATATGTATATATACCAGCTTCATAAATTTGATTTAATTATTTACAGATACAAAATGGATTAACATCCCTAATCGACGTTGGCACCGATCGCGTAAATTTTTTTTAATTATTTTTTCTGGCAAATTAAAAATGCTTATGATTTATAAGGATATAAAAAAAAAGAATTATCAACCTGATCGAATCAAATTAAAAATGCTTATGATTTAGAAGGATATAAAAAAAAAAAAAAATTATCAACCTGATCGAAACATGATAATTTTTTTCTAGTGGCACTTTACTTTGCAAATGCGTAAAAAAAATATATATCAACGGCAATTATTTGCCTCTTTCAAACAAATGATCATTAAAAATGTTAAAAATTAATTAATACAATAATTTTGCATTATATGCGAACATAGCACCTACTACATGTGTTTGTGTTTAAATGTATGTTGACGATTTACAATACTAACCTGCAACACGTGACGGTCGTAGTAGACGTGTGCGAACTTCAAAATACACACTATCACGACGAATAAACATGTTATAAAAACTCTGAGCTTGTAGTCGGCTTGTACTGATTTGTTTTTCGAAATTTTTTGAATATTCAACTGCAACATGACATTATTATGTTATTGCTTCGGTATTGATAACATTTCATAGCAACATCAATGGAACAATAGCAAAATCGTACCAAAAGTTTCTCTCGCAACAAACTCGATATGGAGTTAACACTCGTGAGCGAATTCACCGACAAATCTGTATCGTCTAACATCCCATATTGATCTGAATCTGACTGTGATGCTGTCGAAGACCGTCTAGTCATATGAATCGTTGGTGATCTAAATTTATAGAATAACATAAAAAAGTTCGCTTTTTGTATTTTTATATACATAAAACAGACACATCTAAGCACACATCACATTTGTTCCAAGTCAAAATAACAATTGTCTCCTAGTTTACTTTTTAAAGTAAATTCAGTATTTGTTTGATTAAAATCTCTGATCAATACTAAATGTGTCTATTTTTCTATTCATTAAAAGAACACTTCAAAGTCGTACTAAAAATTTGTGAAATCGCATAAATTATTATTTAACTGTTGTTTCATTGATAAAAGATTATATATGTATTAGCCAATTTATATAGTAATATTATAAAAACTATTAATGTTATTATAAAATATAAAATAATAGAGTTTTTACTAGACTAGATGATACGAGTAGGTATATTGTTAAAATTAAATCAAATTGAACTGCTTACTCGGATCCGCCGTAGCATTTGTAAAGATATTATGAGAGTAAAAAAAATGAACAAAAAATGATAATAACAATAATATGACGAAAAAGGATCAAAGGAAAAAATGTTACCTAATAGGCCGTATAAGCACAATGTACATGTAATATGATACGTATGCATATGTGTCATTGTTATCAAAATTGTTTTTGACCGCTCAAGAGTGGGACGTTGGATGGCGAATTAAAACAAATAACTTTTATAAAAGTCAAACTTTCGGGTAGAACACGATTCCGTACGGTCCTTATCAGCGTACGGAATCGTACACATTTTAAAGCATACGATTCCGTACGTTTTGTACCTAAGATTTTAGTGTAACGGTGTCAGATTTCTAAATAAGTTAAAAAATTATGTAATCTATTAACACATATACGTATTATACGTCGTAGATATTATACAGTATCGGTCGACATCGACATCGTCTCAAAATAAATCGCAATAACACTATTAGATTTGATATGGTTATTAATCATTACAAAATAGTTTATCAGTAACATAAGAATATATTCGTGTATGTAGGTACATCAAAACCAAAACTACTGATAATCTATAGCATACAACATAATATCTTAATAATAAATTAAGATAGGTATCAATGTTTATTTTCCCTAGTCGTCGCATGCCAGTCGATAACCACATCGTTTTGCGTAAAGTGCGGTGCGTTAAAAAAATATAAAAAATAGTGAACATGGAATATGAAGTTAAATTTATAACTTCGGAAAAAGGAAAACCACTGGTATTATTTAATTTCCATACATTTCGGCATATACGAACACGAAAAGATGGTTTAAAAAAATGGTTATGTATACAAAAATTGTGTTATGCATTGTGACAAATGGAAATTTAATTCATCAAACATCAAATGAACATAATCACTGTGAATATTCAGTCGAAAGTATCGAAAGACATGTACTGTGAAGAAACTGTAAACGCAAGGCAAGTGGATCTATTTCTATCCGACCTATTAAAATAATTCGAACAGAACTCTTAAAAAGCGTAAATTCAGAAGAAATTGAACATAGCGATATACGGTCAATGAGAAAAGTCATGTATGACAAACGACGACAAATATACCCGGCTTTTCCAAAATCTTTTATTGAATCAATTGAACAACTCAAAAGTATGCACAATAATGATGTACTTAAATTTAAAGGTGAACAATTATTTTTTGTACCCGATAACAAATTATTCGTTTGTATAACTACAGAACAAAATCTAAGATGTATGATTAATTCATCAGATTTTTTTGCCGATGGTACTTTTAATTACGCGCCGAAACATTATATTCAGCTCTATACAATTAATTGTTTACAAAATGGATTTTATATACCCGTGGTTTATTTTTTCTTGCCTGATGAATCTAAACAAACCTACATTGACATGTGGTTATTTCTTCAAGAATTAAGTGAAAAATTAATTTTCAAAAGACTTGTTATTCAAAAGTTACATTTAGACTTTGAGATAAGTGCTTATGAAGCATGTAGAGAGGTGTTCCCAAATGCAGAAATTCAAGCATGTCGATTTAATTTAAGGCAGTGTTGGTGGTGAAAAGTAAATATGCTTAAAATGTATTATTTCTTTATAAAATGGTAATATTCAACGTATTAACTTTACAGATAAATTCTGAACAGCGACTCCGAACAGCATATACAAATAACGACGAGTTAGGAAAATGGTTAAAACTATTTTTCGGGTTGCCATTTCTATCACCACATGAAATCGAAAATGTATTCATTGAACTTGTATCTATATGTCCTAACCTAGATATAGGATGTTTATTTTCTGATTATATATTGAAAACATACGTAGAAGATCACTATTTATTTCCACCGAAAATTTGGGCTCAAGAGCCATCGGAAAATCCTCGGTATGTATAATAATATATAACTATATATGACTTTCTTGGAAAAATTTTTCTTATTATTAAATAATTATAATTATTAAGAAACATACTTGCTTAAAGTGTATATAAACATACATAAAGTATTTTAAACTAGAATAAAAGATAAAAAAATATACAGATAAATCGTATCGCCAATTTGTTCATAACCACCACGATTAATTTTTGTGTGCGTGGCCTAAAAATAAATTCTAACATAATCAACTCTGTAATCGTCTGCGATATACCAGTCGACCAGTTTTATCATATAACTACATTAATTTTATATAAACGTTTTGTTTTCATTTATTTATTTATTTATTTTACTATATATTTTAAAGTACAACAAATGGATCTGAGAGTTTCCATAGAACATATAATGCCCAGTTTCATAGTCCACACCCTTCAGTTCATTTGGTTATAGCAGTTCTAAAGGAAACACAAGAAAAGACTTGCACGAAAATAAGATCTGTGTCTAAAGGACGTTTGAATCAAATGGCCTTAGCCGACAAATAGCTATTACTCACACAATAACCGAACATAACAAATTTTTAAATCATAGAAATATAATAAAATATTTATCAAGTATTTGTATTAATTACCAAGGTATCAAATTATAATTATTAAACCATTTACAAATTATATATTTTAAATGTTTATATTTTTTCATTTTTTATATTTTTTATATTTTTCTAACCAAGGTATCAAATTATAATTATTAAACCATTTACAAATTATATATTTTAAATGTTTATATTTTTTTATTTTTAAATGACAAAAATTAATTGATAATAATAAATAATAAATGGCAACGTTGCATGGAAAATCGTACGGAATCGTGTTGTTTTTTGGGATCATTTTATAATCCATTGTTTGTTAGACATCGTACGGAATCGTGTTCCCAAAAAGGTAAAACGTACGGAATCGTGCTTTACCGAAACTTTCGAGACCATCTCAGTACACTACTTTTATCCACTCCCCGGATTTATTACATTTTATTACTGTGGATTTTTTTTCCCGACGTTTTCTTATACTATAATACTACCGAATTGACTTCAATGCTTTGACTTTATGCCTCGCGTCATTTGCATACAGCGTACGATATTAATACGCATTAATAATATCAGCAACCGAGATGAACACACGACTGCGACGAGAAATGCAATTTCAAAAGACCCACGCGTACTAATTTTCTACCAGGATGTAGTCGGTTTTAGCCGTCATACTACGCCCGAGCGCGACAACCCGAACAATAAATCGTTATGTACATAACATATCGCACACAACATATAACGTAAAATACAAATATATTTACACGAATATATATTTTCTCTCTTTTTTCTGTACCACGATATATTTTTTAAATCTTATATAAAAACAACAAATAAATCAAAAAATATAATGAATCCTTTTAAACTTAACATAATGGTTATTAATCTAATCAAACACTTCCATATCATTAAGTTTGATAGTTAGAAGCCCGATATGGAAAACCACAAAATATTACTCAAATCAATTTGGAATGGATGTGCATTAAGTGCCAAAAAGATCATCCAATCCTTCCAATAAATGACATAGTAATAGAATAATGATATTTTATTGATCACATTCATGATAATGTGCACATAGGAGATACATTGTGACATAGGTCGAAAGAGTGCAACAGAAAAATCTTGCTCAAGACGTAGTAAACAGTATAACTTAAGATCATAAAATTTAAATGATGTTTACGCGCAGTTTAAAATGTCCGAGTAAATAAAGTTGAGAACATAACTAAGAGCTTGGCATCATGAATAGTTTTAAACTGAAAATAAAATCAATTATGTACAAATATACTTTTCAAATAAAATATAATAAATTAATGTCTTTGGTATTTGATCAATGTATTTTTAAGTAAATATTTTTATTTTGTTTGTATTTGTTAAAAATTATGTTTATTAAAAATAGCTTTTAATAACTTTATTTGATTATGACTTAATTCATGATTACAATTTTTACTGCATTTTAAAATGAATAAATATGTATTTAACTTTTATTTAACCTAACGATATAATATGTACAACTTAGTGTGTACTGTAATAAAAAATATTATAATGGAAATAATTTCACATCATTACAACTTCGGTATATTGATGAAACTATTTTGATTTTAAAATGATTATTGTTTTTATTGTTATGTCTGTAAAAATAAATATTATATCAATTTAATATTTCTTTATAATATTATTAATGATTATGTTAATTATTTGTAAAAAAAATGTTTGGTAAAAATATAATCATCCAAATAATTTTTTTTTGTAATTTATAAATCTTAATGTTAGCATATAGCGAGTATATTATTGTAATAAATTGTAGCATACTATTATAATAAAGTATATAAAGTTAATACTTAGTACAAACATGTACTTATTTAATGATAAAAATATAATCAGTTGATCACAATTAAACTAATTAATCAAATATTAGAGTGAAATCGTGTTCAAATGATTTAAATATGATTTAATGGACCATGTTTAATATATGTTTGATTTACAAATTGAATAATAAATGTAATTTTGTGATCAATAAGTTTGTGGTTTTTTGTAGCGCGTAAGGTTTCAAGTGGCTTGATTCAAACCACTTTAACCCTACTATTGTTTACTTTTGCAAATTTCAACTTATTTCTTCAAA